ATGCAGTTCGGGAAAGAAATTTTCAGCATGAATTTAGTGTGAACGTGTGGATTGGTATCTACTGTAATGGACTATTTGGACCCTACCTTTTGCCCGCAAGGTTAAATACTGCGACCTTCTTAGAATTTTTAAAGGCTGAACATGCAAATATGTGGGATGATGTTATGTTACATTTAAGAAGATTGGCCAGGTTCCAGCTTGATGGTTGTCCAGCTCATTGTTCGAGAATAGTTAGAAACTGGCTGGAAGAAAATTATCCAGAAAGATGGATCGGCCGTGGAGGACGAGTCGCCTGGCCTCCACGATCCCCTGACCTAAATCCATTAGATTTTTTTGTGTGGGGATTTCTAAAAGAAAAAGTGTGCCAGACTCCTGTAACCGCAAGGGATATGCTAATAGACAGAATCGGGAATGCATGTGATGAAATAAGGCCTTATTTGAATAATGCTATACCACGTTCGATCATTCGTAGATGTGAATTGTGTATTGAACAGTTGAGTTTACATTTCGAACAACTACTTTAGATTTTGTATGTATGTCCTAACTATCCAATAGCATTTTAGTTGTAAATAATTAATTTAATTTGTTAAAAGTAATATTGGAAAGTTAAACAAATTAATATTCTTTTTTTTTGTGTTTATTTGGAGTTAGGAATTATTGCTGTGTTTAAAAACACAATCTAAACGATCATCTTAATTACTTGTAATGCCCAAATCGAAAATGTAAAAAAAATATTATTTTCCCATAGATAATTAAAAATGCATCGAACCTTAAACATCGAAATATCTCAAAAACTGCTAATTATAACGAAAAGTCACAGGAGAGCTTTTTTATGTTGAAAAGTGCGAAGAATCAATTTTTTCATTCAAAAAGCAAAAAATTGCACTAAGAAAAAATTTTCGGTCATTTTAATACACTACAGGTACAGTAGAGAGCGCCCTCTAGCGGCTACAGTAAAACTATGCCCATGGTTCGTTTTGTCGTACCAAAAAACCCTTGTATACGAATTTTCACTGTTATACATCAAATATTGTTCGAAATATTAAAAAAAAACTATTTTAGAAAGTATATTTAAACACCCTGTATTTCGGAAGCCACGCATTTTTCGACCCATATTTATATAGACTTTATGCATTAATTTTAAAAGTTCTATCGAATCTTAAAGTTATGCAACAATAAACTGAAGCATCCTGTATAAATCGCCATTTTGTGGCAGAGGCCATATTGGATTTACAATGGCGCCACTTTGCTTATTACGATTCTCTCATTAAATCCTTTTATTTGATACTAATATCGTAGAGCTGAGTGTGGAAATGAAAGCCTGTAAAAATGTAAATCGTCATAGATGCAAATACATGCGCTCGAAAAAACAACTCAGTTTATACCTCATATAAAACTTGTTTTCCATTTTACACCACCTCCATTTACACTTTTATTATGAAACGCATCGCAGATTGGCAAGAGCGATGAAGTGTGTTGAAACAAACTCCATTGTAGAGTTAGATGCTGAGAATATTATCATCTCGCATCAATCTTTCAGGTTGCAGACAGAACATTTGGCAGGGAACCGTTCTCATGTATTATGGATTTTAAGCGTCTGTCGACTTAAGAATTCAGGGGTTCGGTTCAGCGGAAGAAGGCAAGTTTAGGGCCAAATTGGCAATAACCCGGATACGGTCGCTGGTATCTACAACCGCATATCTGGCATATATGGCCTCATATGGCCTATATAAGGATGCGGTCAATGAATATCGATATCTCGGAGTCTGATATAGAAATCGTTGAGGAATTATATGAAAAATCTAGCGAATTGATGATTTATTATATGGGAAATGGAGAAACTGAAATCGGGCCGGATAGATTGTGGGTTTAAGGATTTAAAATCGGCACTTTAGTTATGCTCATATGTTAAATAAACGTTTTATATTTTATTTCATATTATGATATACGAATACTTAAGAGTGTGAATCTACATGAAAAATTAATATATATACATATATACGATATACGAATACTTAAGAGTGTGAATCTACATGAAAAATTAATTTTAATTTGCTTAATAAATTATGGTCCAAAAATGTTTCCTTACAAAAACCCCGCGTTTTTGTGTTGGTTTTAGGAAAAAAATGGAAATTAATTAATATTTTCAGAACCGCTTCAGATATGTCACTGATATTTAGTACTTAGTGGAAGTTAATAAAGTTGCATATTTTTCAATGCAAAAATAATTTCTAGCTTTAACAGTGGCGTGTGTAGGGTATTGACTTCGATGTTTTTTAAGAAAAAAATGGTACGCCAATTATATTTTGAAAAATAAAACTTATTTTTGAATTTCCCGTTCAATTTAACACAAACGATATTTATTGAGTTTTCTTGGATGCGCCATTTTTGAGTAAAAAAGTAAAAACCGTTCTATTGTCTAACTTGCAAAATTACTATTAATTTAATTGGAAAAATTAAACACATTAGAGGTAATGAACAGCAACAACTGACAACATAAACATAACATCAAAAACCAACGAAATGATTACAGAAATTGTTGAAAATGCCCCCCTTCACTTAGTATGCATGTTTCCGCCTTCCTTCTCATCGAATTGCGCACTCGTTGAAATATCCCTGGAGTGTTTTTCACAAGCTGCAACTATTCTTTCTCTTAATTCCTCTACAGTGTTAATGGGGCTTGTATACACTAGTGTCTTAATATAGCCCCACAAAAAGAAATCTAAACTGTTGAGGTCTGGGGACCTTGGTGGCCATTCTTGGGGCCCACCGCGGCCAATCCAACGATTTGGATAAACAGTTTGTAAATAATTACGAGCCGCAACACTGAAATGCGCTGGTGCACCATCATGCATGTACCACATATTGTTTCTTATTACCAACGGAACATCATCAAGCGGCAAAGGCAACTGTTGTTGAAGAAAATTGAGGTAAATCTGTTCGTCAAGTCGACGAATGGGCCAATAAGGTAAAGTAAAGACACCACTGACAAAAGGTCACACGCTTTGGAAAATCAAAGGTTCGACTATTTGGGAAAGCACGATCGGGATATCTCTGGTGACAAGTCCGTCTGGCGTGCTCACCATTACCGTCGGCAAGGCTATATACGTAATGCCCTGTCTGCAGGGCGTTCCTTTAAATGGACATAGTAAAATGGTAGATAGTATGGACCGAAAACCTTCCATATCAAAAATAGTTCTGAACTCCGCGTTTACGGATATACAGGATGATTTTGCTAAAAATGCCTAATCTTTAATTTCACATATGTCAAGCACTATTCAACCGATTTTGTTGAAATTTTATACGGTAACTAAGTAGCCTAGGAGCAACGTAATACTAGAAGGGCGATTGAAAAATCCAGAGCCGGACTCGATTCTCTTTCACTATTGCGTTTTTTAACAAAACTTTTAGGCTTTTAGCAATATTGAAATGTTTATCTATGTCCGAAAAGGGAATAAAAGTTGCTATTTGATCAGCAAACTGGATTGTTTATGCCTCTTGTGGTTTTTATAGTTAAGCATTTTAATTTGTCTACATTATCTTATTTTTTAGCAGCTTATGTGACAGTAAACTAAAGAGTTACAGGCGTTATCAAATCAGTTTCATTTCAGAATAATGCTTGAAATTGATCAAAGACGTTTTAGGAACTCAACATTCCAAACTCAAATTTCCAGGGTCATATCCAGTTTCTTTTATTTCCTTGAATTGTAAGTAAATATATTATTTAAAATTATATTATGAATTTATCATTATTTTGCGTATCTGGCCTTATATAGCCTCATATGAGCCAAATGAGGATGTGGTCATTGACAATAGATTTTTCGGAGTCTGGTATAGAAATCGCCGATATGAAAAATCTAGTTAAGATTTATTATTTGCGAGTTGAAGAAACTGAAATCGGGTCGGGTACATCAGAGCGTTAAGCGTTCAACATCAACTCATTATACAGGGTGTCTGCAAAAGGTAATCTTGAAACTGGAGACACTACGGATCAAAATATGTGAATTGATTTAAGCATAGCTTAGTCCAAAAGTTCATAGTTTGCGAGATCCAGGGTGTCGAAGTAACAATTTTATTTTCTATTTTTCCTTATTACTTGAGAAGTATTTCAGATTTTGGCATAAAACTCGGTATAGGGAAGTTTTTTAGTATAAGAAACAAGAATCTGTTATTTTTTATAGCCAAACTTCTAGAGGGCGCCACTTACAGAGCACTATTTCGGTAATTAACTTATCATAACTTTTTTGTGCTACCCTGTATACAACAACTGACCAAAATATCTTATTTTCTCGTATTTCCACAACAAAAAAGGTTAACTTGTTAGAACTGTCTAAAGCTAATAGTTTTCGAGATATTTGTTTTTAAAAGTTCCAATGCAATTTGTACCATGATGAAACATTTTTATAACATAATAATCAAGTTGTTTTGGATAATATCTGAATAGCGTAGCTATGGTTTCTAATGTTTGTCATAAAATTGCTTTAAACTTCATGAATTCACAGAAGAATCACTTGTTTAGATTCTAGATTGCAGTTACACCCCCTAGCAATCGTTTCAGAAACATGGCCGTTTGCTTAGATGCAGTACAACGCATTTTTAGTTGCCCACCCTGCACTTTCGTACTTTCTCCTAATTCAATTATGTTCCGCCCTCGTCGAAGTAAATATCTAGAATACATATCGTAGTACCCTCGTAGTAGTACCTAACCGTCACGAGGATCCTACGACATGTATTCTAAATATTTACTTCGACGAGGACTTCACATAATTAAAATTGAACATCACTTAGCGGTAACTGCGTTTGATCATGTAATTATTGTTAATACATATTTTCCATCCATTAATTGATTTTTGTTTAATTCAATTTGGTCTCATAATATATTATTAATATGATAAACATTATTATTATTATAATAGACAAAAATTGGCCGCGATTCAGTCTATGGATGAGTGACCCTAACTCAAAGTGGTGTCATGTGCAAATATGGGGGGTAGCTTTACATGATCTGTATACCGGCGTGCACATGGCTGGTGCCGGAAGCGTCGACTGCTGCCCCTGGGGCGGCCGACGTTTCTTCTTGGGGGGCGGCAGCGGTGGCGGGACGGCGAAGCTTAAGCGCAGCCGGTGTGGGCACCTGGGCGGTGCTACTGATGGTGGTGCCTCCTCGGGCTGCGTATCCTAGACGAGGAGACGCTGAAGGAGGTGGAGCCAATGAGGGACCCAGTGTTACCGGTGACTGAAACAAAATATGTGCGTTAGTCACGAGATGGGTTAAACATTAAATATACCTGCACCCCATAACAACAAGCAAAACGGTAAATTGTGGTGCTGGGGGAATTCGTCAAACTTAAATGATGATAAAACGTAAGAGTTAAAGTTCCAAACAAAAAATAACAGTACTATTAAAGCTCTTAGTGATTTTTTAACGGATGCTGAGATATAGCCGGCGTCCTTTATTTTCGGGTCACCCTGTACATACAGTACCGAGCAAAAGTAGAGATGCAAACTTTTTGTAAATATACTAAGTGACATATAAATCTGAACACCCACTTTAAATGGTTTTATTTTAATAAAAGTTGGTGAATGTCTTTATCTTACTGTAAATAACAAGTGAAAAATTTTTCAGCCTTATCAGTTGGACATTCCGGTTTTTATACTGTTTTTTTTTAATTCACTAACGCTCTAAAAATGAATATTTCAGCCGCAGTAAAGAATCAATTTTGGCGGATTTTGGTTCTTGACATCCTTTACGATCGGTTACGATGCCTAGAGTACGGAGACCTGTACGATTCCGTCAACTTAGTGAGTTTGATAGGGGCCGTATAGTGGGACTTCGGGAAGCTGGACTTTCTTTTCGGGCAATTGCTGTTAGAGTGCAAAGAAGTGTAGACACTGTGGTTAGGTGTTGTCAGGCATGGCTTCGAGAAGGCCGTACGCAAAGAGCAAGGTGCACTGGACGCCGCCGTAGAACAACATACCGTCTCCTCACTTCCACTCCTAGATTTTCGACATCATTCCTTGACAGTTGGATACGCAAAACATACGTTTCCATACACTGCTTGCGTACGCGTATGAATTTGCAACGTTTGCAAACCGACAAAATGTCACTATTTTAGATACGTAATATCCGTGCCGATCTCCTTTTCGTCATTTTCATACCGAGTCTCATTATAATCTCTATAGACTATTCGAAAGCCTTTGACAGCATCAATCATAAATTATTACTTGCTAAATTAAATTACATAGGTCTTGACAGTGTATCCCTGTCATTTTTCGACAGTTACCTTTATCAAAGAACTCAGTGTGTTCTTCTCAATCAAGAAATGTCTCAAGTAACAATAATTCCCTCAGGCGTACCTCAGGGCTCTGTATTGGGGCCGCTTCTGTTCCTCATATATACGTATACGTTCGACTTAACCAAAAGTATTGATAATTCTCATGTCCATTCATTTGCAGACGATACGCAATTGCTTCATTATTTTAACCCAGATAATGTCAATAATACTACTCAAATTTTACAAAACGATGTTAATAAATTAATTTAATACTCTTTAGATCACAATCTACTTATTAATCCACAAAAATCTAAAATGTTATTATTTTGCGCACAAAGAAAAACATACAATTTAACACAGCTCTTGAACATTCAGATAAATAACCAAATCTTGCAATTTTCTGATTCTGCAAAAATTCTTGGTGTTGTTTTTGATGCAAAATTAAGGTTTATTGAACATGTTAAAATACTATCTCAGAAAACCTACCTACGGCTGCGCACTCTTATAGCAAACAGGTATTTACTAAATTTTAAGTTGCGTAAAAAACTATGTGAAGCATTGGTCATATCTATACTAAATTATTGTAATATCGTATACTATACTTGTTGTTTAGACAATTTCAGTAAAAACGTTATTCAAGTTATTCAAAACCATTGTATACGATTCATTTTTGGCTTACGTAAATTTGATCATGTCTCAGCGAAATATCCCATTCTAAACTGGTTAAAAATTAATGACATGGTCAAGTATCACTATTCAGTTTTTGTTCACAAATTCCTGCTCACGTCTAAACCTTATTACTTGAAGAAAAAAATTTCATTTAATAATGATGTTCACTGTAGAACTCTCAGAGAAAATAATATTAGAATACCCCTGCATACGTCTACACTTTTTAAACGTAGTTTTTTTTACAATGTTGCTATTATTTATAATGACCTTCCTAAAGTATATAAAGAATTTTCATTACCTGTATTTCGACAAAAAGTTAAAACATTATTACTCAACCCTCCAAACATATAATTTACGTAATCATTCATTTCTTTTTCATTCCATCTTTAATTCAGATTAATAATTTTTTGGTGCATTTGGGTTTGGAAAGTATGCCTTTTTCTGTTTTTTTAAATTTCACTTTCGATGTAATGAACCAAATCTGTTTGTGGATAGTGTATTCTTTTGAACATCTGCTAGAGACTATATGGTCAAGTGTAAGAGTAGCAGCATGCTAAACTTCGCCATGTAAGTCTGACATTTGGCTATAGTACAATGTAATTGTGGATAAATAAACACGTCTATTATTATTATATCCAATCAAAGTGCGCTTTCAAGTTCACGTCTCTCATCTGAAACACCGCTCGAGTTCAGTCACTTCCCACCCTCTTTAGAGCCTTTGACCGTCGCTCATTTTGAGTGGCCATAATTTTTCCTGGTTTCCACGGTCGGTGATTCTGTCCAGTCAAGCGAGAGCAAGATTTATGGTACCAAAACTGAATTACTACCTCCTCCCTGAAGAATTTCTCAAATTATCGACGGCCTTTGTTCCTGCTCTCTCGCCAAAACCCTTCTGTTAATGAACCACGTTTTCGCGCGTATGTGAAGTTGGCAGCGTCTTTTGTTTCATGTTTCCTGTAGCACTAGCGACGATGAGTCGCTGTGGGAGTTCAAAAGTGCTCCACCTTTGTCTCTAAATTAAGGGCGGGCGGGTTGAAGAGGTTGCGATGTGTAACAAAACTAAACGATAAGGGGTTATGTTAAAACATTGATTTTTAGAGAAATATCCAACAATAAGCTGTCTTTGTGAATAGTTGTAGCAAGGAGTAGCTATATCAATAGAAGAGAGTCTAATATACTAATATGTATGTTTATCTGATTTTAATAATTGTTGGCATATATCTTCAGTGTACCTTAGTAGTAAAATGACTGAATTTCCAGCTTGGTTCGTCAGCTGACTGCAGAAGCTGGTTCAGTAATGTGTTGAGGATCCACGATTTCTTATACAGGGTGTTTCACTTTATTGTTGCATAACTTCAAGATTCGATAGAACTTTTAAAATTAATGCATAAAGTCTATATAAACATGGGTCGAATAATGCGTGGCTTCCGAAATACAGGGTGTTTAAATTTACTTTCTAAAATAGTTCTAAATATTTCGAACAATATTTGATGTATAACAGTGAAAATTGGTATACGAGGGTTTTTTGGTACGACAAAACGAACCAACAACAAAGTTTTACTGTAGCCGCTAGAGGGCGCTCTCTACTGTACCTGTAGTGTATTAAAATGACCGCAAAATTTTCTTAGTGCAATTTTTTGCTTTTTGAATAAAAAAACTGATTCTTCGCACTTTTCAACATGAAAAAGCTCTCCTGTGAGTTTTCTTTATAGTTAGCCGTTTTTGAGATATTTCGATTTTTAAGGTTCGATGCAATTATGGGAAAATAATATTTTTTTTACATTTTCGATTTGGGCATCACAAGTAATTAAGATGATCGTTTAGATTGTGTTTTTAAACACAGCAATAATTCCTAACTCCAGATAAACACAAAAAAACAGAATATTAATTTGTTTAATTTTCCAATATTATTTTTAACAAATGAATTGAATATTGTATGCTATTGAATAGTTAGGACAAACATACAAAATCTAAAGTAGTTGCTCGAAATGTAAACCCAACTGTTCAATACACAATTCACATCTACGAATGATCGAACGTGGTATAGCATTATTCAAATAAGGCCTTATTTCATCACATGCATTCCTGATTCTGTCTATTAGAATATCTCTTGTGGTTACGGGAGTCTCGTACACATTTTCTTTTAGAAATCCCCACACAAAGAAATCTAATGGATTTAGGTCAGGGGATCGTGGAGGCCAGGCGACTGGTCCTCCACGGCCGACCCATCTTTCTGGATAATTTTCGTCCAGCCAGTTTCTAACTATTCTCGAATAATGAGCTGGACAACCATCAAGTTGGAACCAGGCCAATCTTCTTAAATCTAACATAACATCATCCCACATATTTGCATGTCCAGCCTTTAAAAATTCCAAGAAAGTCGCAGCATTTAACCTTGCAGGCAAAAGGTAGGGTCCAAATAGTGGATTACGGTAGATACCAATCCACACGCCCACACTAAATTTATGCTGAAAATTTCTTTCCCGAACTGCATGCGGATTTTCATGCGACCAAATATGTTGATTATAAAAATTTACCACTCCACGTCTAGTGAAGCATGACTCATCGGTCCATAAAACGTTACTTAAAAACTCCCTATTATTATCAGTTCTATCAAGAATCCACTGACAAAATGTGATTCTTCGTTCTCCGTCCCCTGGCTGTAGTCCTTGCACAGGTTGCAAATGGTAAGGACGTCTATGGTCATTTCTAAGAACATGGTGAACATGGCTTGCTGAAATTCCTAAGGCACCAGAAACTCTCCTAACACTTGTGGTCGGATCTCTATCAAACTCACGCAAAATCATACGGGTAAATTTGCGCTAACAAACATTTATTTTTTGATCCCTTTGGAGATTTCCAAAACCATTTTCAATTATTTGGCGATGCACTCTTACAAATACTGAGCGAGTTGGATGTCGTCTGTTTGGAAATCTTCGTGCGTATTCTCTGGCTGCTTCTGCTGCGTTTCCATTTACAAAGCCATACACAAAATGAATATCCGCTAACTCTTGATTGGAGAATAAAAATGGCATTTTTTTAAGCTTACAAAAGAAAACAGGTAAAAGAAACTAAATTTCGTGCATTCACAATTGCAAAAAACCGTTTCAGGTTTCAACAGACAACAAAACTAACTGTCAACTAATTGACGTTTAACCTTATTCTGCTTTCAATTTCTAAAATATTTGCAGGCACAACCTACTTCTAAAAATTATCGAGATACTAACTTTTTAACGTTATTTTATCATAAATAATTAAAAATGCATCGAACCCTAAAAATCGAAATATCTCAAAAA